CATCTAGCTTTTAATATATTTTTTATATCTTCTAAAATATTTAATTAAATAAATTAATTAGTTAATAAATTATTATAATAATTAAAATTAAAATTAAATATTCTATAGAATAGGTAAGCAAACTCTGCAAATTTCAAAATTTTGCTAAATATTACTAATTATTAGTAAAGTTTATTTTTTATATTGCTCATTTATTCTATATAATATTTTTAATATTAGCCAAAATTAAAATATAAAAAGTATAAATAAATTTTAATAATTTTAAATCAAGTTTACTAAAATACACCATAGGTATTGAACACCATAGTTGCTATATTTCAAAAATGTACTAGCTAACACCTCTCTGAGATATTAAGTAAAAATGTTCAGAACCTCCAAAAACTTTATGCTAACTAAAATTTAGTCCTTTATATCTAACCCCTATCTTATTATAAAGTTATACTCTAACCTTAAATTTTAACTAAAAACATATTAATACCAATAACACCTATAATATATTTTATAATTATTGATTTTAAATAATTTTAAAATTTAATTTTAGCTAATTTTAAGTTTAGTTTTATTTATAATTAATAAAATTAAATAATACTTACTATTTTGAATTGATTTAAAATAATTATGATACTATTCATAAAAATAAGATAGTTGAGGATGGGTTCCAATTATTTGCCTGACATTTATTTGCCTGACAATTACTTTCTCGACAACCATTTGCCCGACAATTACTTGTCCGACATCTTTATTTGCCTGACAATCATTTGGCTGACACCTTTTTTTAATTTATAATCACTTTCTTAACATTTTAAAGGTGTAGGGCAAATGACTGTCGGGCAAATGAAGATTTCGGGCAAGTAATTGTTGGACAAATGGTTGTCAAGAAAGTAATTGTTAGGCAAATAAATGTCGGGCAAATAATTGGGATCTGTTGAGGATTATCGCTTTCAAATATACTAATTCCAATTATTAATTCTTTCAAAATTTCAATTAATTTTAAAAGATTATTCCAATAAATTTTACTATTAACTGTTTTTTTCAACAATTTTACTTATATTATCTTGATTTGCAATTAATTCTGTAATGGTAAGACTAATTGCAATATGGTTAACTTTAACTGATTCCATACAAATAAAAAAAGAACCCCATCTAGTTTTTGCTGATAATTTAAGAGAAACTTTTGATTCTTGTGATTGCTGATGACGTTTAAAAATTGCTGTTGGAATATTATGATTTTTAAAAAACTTAACAATAGCTTTTGTTTTTTTAAAAATAGAATTAGCCCAACTTAATTTCATAATATCTTGAATAATAAGATTTAGATTATGTGCCAAATACCCTATATAAATAATATTTGGAAATGATTTACTTAAAATTTTCCAAGATTTCTTCATAACAGAAGCATTATCAGTAACTATAGCACAAAGTTTAGACTTATCTATAGTTTCAATAATATCTTCTATATCTTTAGCAATATTATTGGCATTTTGATGTACTTCTTCTGTAGGTTTAGCAAAGATAAATACTAGTTTTGAAATTACAAAGATAAAATTTGTCCAATGTTCAGAAGAAATACTTGACCTAAAAATTAATAATTTTAATTATATATTTAAATTTATAATATTATAGATATCTAAACATTAAATAAAAATTATTTGACTCTTAGTCAAATTTGATTAAAGTTTTTATTTTAATTTTATATACTTATAAAATTAAATTAAAAAATTTTAATTTAATTTAACTAAATATGTGCTTAATATTTATTATTAAAATTTACCATCTATCACAAATCAAAGTCAAAAATTCAGCATTTTTAATACTTTTATCCACTTTTAATTTAGTCTTATTATAAACATCTTCTAATAATTGATTAGACATTTTTTTTCTTGGAGGTAATTTAAAAAAAGGTTTTAATTTTTTAATCCAGGCTTGGATTGGAGCTAGTTCACAAAATAAAAAAGGAAGACCACATTGAAAGACAGCTTCTGCAAATCCAAATTCAAGATTGTCTTGTTCATTTGTTGTAATATTATCAAAAAAATTCTTAATATTTCTATTTTGTAGTGTTTTTTTT